ACAAATAGTTGAATAGAAACATTGAAATAAAGTTCATATTTGTGCGTGTATTTTTTTAATCTGTGGTTTTATTTCATAACATTAAAAAAAATTCATAACGTTTAAAAAACTTTGTTAAATGTGCTGTGAAATTTTCATTTGCTTCTAGGTGTGCCGTTGCTAAAAAAAAAAAAATGTTGAGAAGCACTGACCTAAGGCAACACAAGAAACAGACGGGGAAAAATGGGCTGACAGCATCACTGAATAAACTGTAAGACCCAGATATTGTCACGCAACCGAGAAATGCGAAGGGAGTTAGTTGCTCAGCTATTAGCACACTCGTTCATGGAAACAGTAAGCGGTAAATGAAAGAAAGAGAAAAAAAGTGGTATTTAAAAAAAAATGAGAGGCGTTTAAAATCAAATAGTGAATGAGAAAAATTAGGAAAAATATGAAAAAAAAACAATGTTGGTTTTCTCTACGTAATAGTTTGGATCCATTGTTTCTCATTAGTGTCTCTGCCTTCTCATATAGTTGAATGTTCTCATTCTTCTTCTTCTTCTTCTTCTTCTTCTTCTTCTTCTTCTACTACTACTACTACTAATACTGCAACTACTACTACTACGTGGTGTGTCCCTATAGACGATCATCAATCTCTGCAACTTCCTATCTTTTACAGCTCTTGTTATTTATTTATTTTTTTTGTTTGTTTTTTTAGCGGCATATCAACTCCTTATGCTGAATTTTAATTTTCTTGGGAGCATTAGTAATTTTCCTTACAAAAATGTATTGCTGGTAATTTCTTTTACTATGAAAATATATTGCTGGTATTTTTTACTATAAAAAGGTGTTTTTATACTTTCATAGTGTTTTGATCCTAGTTTGGGTGTTAGCTATTTGCTCGCAGTTGGGACCCTAACAGGTGCTACAACCCTGGGTCAGGGTAGGCCTGGGGAAAACAGAAATTAAGAGGTGGTTTTATGCTCTTCAAAGCCTTTTGATCAGAATCCTTTCAACTCTTATTAAGGTTTGTCTCTTTGGAATCCATCCTGCTCCCTGATCTGCCACCCAATTTATATGTGCACTTTAGGTCGGTTATGCGCTGTATTTTTGTGTTGATGATAAGGATTTGTCCGATATCGGATAAATGTCAAGTTAACCAGCGCGATAATATCGTGAACTTCTAATCAATATATGCGTTTTTAAATTCTTCTTCTTCTTCTTCTTCTTCTTCTTCTTCTTCTTCTTCTTCTTCTTCTTCTTCTTCTTCTTGTGCTATGTCCTCTCAGGACATAGGCGATCATGGCTCTCCAAAAGTTCTTGTCCTTTGTAGCTCTTAATAAATTCTGTCTTGTTGTTATTTCTCCCAAACCCTGTTCCGCCATCCATTTACTCAAGCTAATCAAGTAAATTATGCGTTGCTTTTGTATGTCCCGCTTGCCTTCAAACTGTACTGGGAGTATCAGATTCTCCAAACCTTCTTTCCTCACTATGTGTACTGGAAATTTCAGCTGTGTCCTTCTGATGTTAAGTAAAAATTTATTTTCCTTTCCATTTCCTCTAGAACATCGTCGTCGCTCACATATTCTGTCAATGGCATTCTCAGCATCCTTCTGTAAAACCACAATTCTGTTTTTTCAAGTCTATTCTTCATCTGTGGTCAAATCGTCTGCTTTCATTGCCATGTAGGAGGACTTATATTACATAACAGTTCAATAGGCTTTTCTTCGTTTCTATGATTTTTTTCTGTTTCTTAATACTTTGCTTAGTTTTTGGAAGGCATCATTCGCTATTCCATTACTCCTGCTAGTATTGGTAAATACTATTGGCTTTCATTCAGTGAGTCTTTTTTTCATCATCTCTTCCCGTCTTGCTTTTTCCCCTCTCCAAGTAAAACTAAATGTTAGATTAGACTTGCATAAGCAACAACAAATGTAATTTATTTTCTATTCTGAACTCTGCAATATTTCTCTGCGGTAATCTACTTGTCGCCATTGAAGATTTTTTTTATTTGGTGGGGGGGGGATATCCAATCTCTTCTATTTTTATAAATTTGCCATGACACACTACATAATCTTCGAGTCAAATCGGATGACAAGAGTTCTTGGTAACGTGCTTATCGTAATAGAACCCCATCCCCGCAACCTAAATGTTCCACGATTTAAAAAAAAAAGAGGGAAATGACAGAAGGCTAAAAAGATCGATTTGTTGGTTGGAATATAAAAACGGATAATATGAAACATAAAAAAAGAAAGATATTTGGCTTCTTATGAGGCAACAATTAAATATACAGAAAAAGATTTCCTGGGCGACATTGAATCTAATAAGGAATTTAGTCTGCTCACCTTACTCAATTAGAGTGAAAAGGCGGCAACAAGTTCCTGTCCCTCAAGAACCTTAAGAATTGATAGTCATTGATAAATTTCCAATACCAAGACTATTATTTAAACATGGAGTCTATATCGTCTGACCATTCACAATTCATAGATTGCAATTTCTGATTTTTATAATTTAGTGATTTTAAACAATAGAGTTGGAATAGCAAAAGATGACTTATAAAAGCAAAACGAAGTTTGTCTGTTTCTTAATCATCTCCGCTCCTCACCCCCACCCCCCGCCCCAGGCGATAATGCCACTAAGACGCGAGGGGTTACTGGAGTTGAAAGAGAATAAGAAAACTTTAGTATGGAGAAAGGACAATAAAAGAACAGAATTCAGGAAGACAGAAAATGGAGATTGACGTTGCATTTAAATTTTTGAAGAATGTGGGTAATAAAAAAAGCAAGAAACTGGAAGAGAGTTCCACAGTCGAGAAGTGCGTGAATTGAGAGACTATTAGAATAGAGTTTACAGTTAAATTTCGCTAATTTAAAAGTAAATTCAAAGAAAGGTTGGTTCTGGCATTTCAACTTCAGTCACTTTATCACCGATGTGACGTTGCTTCCTTCTGTCTTTTCTACAAATATTTTCATCGTAACGGTTCTGATGAGTTTTTCTCCTTAGTGCTTCGACTACAAGAAGCGTGCTACTTGATTGGCAACTACGCCATACCGTTTTACTGCTGAATTAAATAGATGTGACTACCACTTTTATTTTAACAGTTTCTTTTCTCACATTTCTCACCTATAGATCTCCATTCCAATTACTTGATTCCCTGCCAACTACAATCATCAAAAAGTAAAAATATAATCGCCATCTTCTGTCTTCCTAAATCCTGTCCCTTTATTGTCCTTTAATCAATTCTTGTTGAAATTTTCTCATTCTCTTTCGTTCCCTATAAACCTCTGCGTCCTGTTGACATTATCGTATTGCTTGGAGTAAAATAACTATTAAAAAAGTAAAACTATGAGACCTATCTGCCAATCTAGTGGCACGCTCAAATTCATGCAGTCGTGGTACCAAACATGAGAATTATTAGAGGCAAAATCTCGTTAGAAACAAAGAAAATTGAATGTAATACCAATCCTCGCATAAAGCAGTGAATACTGGACCATATCACAGATGAAGCTGAGACCTTAGGAAACAGACGTGTGATTCTACAGAAGGATGCTGAGAATACCATAACTTTGAATGAAAATGGTAACAAAAACGACACATATACTTAGAATAAAAAAAGAAACAATTGAACATTTTGGGTCACATCTTGAGGAAAGAGAGCTTGGAGAATTTATAGTACTCACAGGGTTTGTTGAAGGAAGAAGGACAGAGGAGAAACAATGAGTAACCTGCTTAGCAAGCCAGCCTAAATGGCTTATGGCTTAAGACCCAGCATGCTACGCACATTGTAGCCGACCACTCTCATTCAATTCGTATTGGACTCGAGCAGCTTCTTCCCGCGAATCACTACACCGTGGGACCGACTCCCAAGATAATGTTTTAATCTAATCACTAAAACCTTAACGTATTCAAGTCAGGATTAATCTTCCTCTGTATATCCGTCTAAACTGTATCTCTTATTTTCTAACCCTCTGTGAACATCACCGTAAAAAAAACATTGTTGCAAAACGAATTATATAGAAACGAACGATGTAATATGAAAAAAAAAGGCATAATATGAAGTTTCTATTAACATTACAGTTAATGAAATGCTTGACGTATGCATTTAATTGACTCAGCAATAGCTTGACTTTCTGAGTGACTTATTGCTACCTGTACCATGCCTCGAAAATGTTGGTCAGTTGAACATACTTTTTTGTGTTTTTGTGTTTTTTTATATTAACTAAAAATCCAGATTACAAGTGTAACGGCTGTCAAACACGATCAATATTTTTCTTATTTACGAAAAGTCAACATCAGAAACATTCATTTTGTTAATGTCGTCGTCTTCTTCTTCTTCTTCTTCTTCTTCTTCTTCTTCTTCTTCTTCTTCTTCTTCTTCTTCTTCTTTCACCTCCTCTTCTTCTTCTTCGGATTTGCGCTGTACACTATTAAAGATTAATTCAGATATTATGCAATAGTTTGTTTTCTTTTAAGTTATCAATGAGGCCATTTAGCATCATACTTCACTAACGATGATGCGAGTAAACATCGAAATTGTAAAACGAAAGCAGATTATCTACAAATATGTTTATCGGAGTTATTTGTATTCTTTATACTTTAGAAGTGACGGGTGGATACGATTTATAAGAATTTTCCAATTACATTTCTGACATAATATCTGCTGGAGTTGTTATTGGCGTTTGTTAGGTTTTCCAGGAATGAAAGACAAAAAGAAAGAAGAGAAGGACATAGCGAAAAGAAGGGGGGGAAGAGGAAGGAAGCGGATGAGAAAGGACCCCCCCCAAAAAAAAGAAATAATGAAAATGAAAGAAAAAGAAAAACCATGACATATGTAAGAAACGATAAAGGAATAATAAAAAAAAACAACAACAAAAATGCAAAGAGAAGACAAATAGTCGGAAGGAAGTATAAAAGAAAGGCTGCAATAAAAAGTAAACGAAACTAATTACAAAGCAAAAGAGAGAAAGAATAAATAAATGAATGAATGAATGAATGAGTAGAAAAATTGAAGAAACATGTAACTAACGTAGAAAGGGCGGGAGAAGACACAACAAACAAAAGACGATATAAAAAGGATGAAGCAAGCAAAGAAAGAAAGAACAAAAAAATAAGGAAGAGGGAAAAGAATGGAAAGAAAGGAAAATATTGGAAGAAGCAAAGAAAGGAATATTTTGAAAGAAAATTACTCGTAATAGATAAAAGGTCAAAACAACGGAAAAAAGTAAAAGAAAAAATGGAAAGGAAGAAAAGAAATAAGGATTAATGATTGAAAGCAACAACTGCAGAAAAAGAAAGAAAGAAACAAACAAACAAACAAACAAACAAACAAAAGGAGACTGCAAGAAAATGAGATAGAAAAGGGAAGAAAAATGTGAAGAAAATGAACAGAAAGGAAGGAAGGAAAGCATGAAAGAAAGAAGAAAAACGAGAGAGAGAGACTACAAAAAGGTGATAACGAGGAGAGGGAAGGAAAATGGGAAGAAAGAAAGAAAGAAAGAAAGAAAGAAAGAAAGAAAGAAAGAAAGAAAGAAAGAAAGAATTGAAAAATAATGAGAAATGAAAAACTCAAGGGAATGAAGAACAGATAGAAGAAAAAATAATGAAAGAGAATATTAATGACAGACGGAAGAAAAGTATAAATAAAGCGTTGAATGAAAAAGAATGAAAATTCGAAAAAAAAAGATATGAAGAATAAATACACGTAATATAAATGGCTGAGACAAGAATAAGAAATAAAAGAAAGTAAGAATAAAAGAATAAATCCAATGAAAAAGAGTAGAAGCGGGAAAGAAATGAAAAAGAAAGAAAAATTCATCAAATCTCTATTCGAATGTTGACACTTCATAAAAGGTCGAATAATGTTTTGTGTTAAGAGACCAGAAATTGAATATTCAATGAAAGTAGTTGCTGCATTGGCGTCTGCCACCATTCGATCTTACCTTTCACGAGGTTTGGTGTATAGGCGAGCGAAGAGAGGTGTAAATGGTCGGGGATGCATCTCGCTACCTTTATCTGTGTGTACGTAAAAAGCTGTCTTGTGTGCAGCCTGCATTATGTATGCAAAACAGCGTAGGCGGCTTGACAGCTGTGCACGTTGACTACGCAGGAAAAGGCTTGTTTTTAGAATTACACCTGGTGAACATTGTCTTAAACAGGTTGATAGCATGGACCGATATTTACCAAGTTAAGCATAGTCTGACACATGCCAAACCACTGCAGATAAGCGCCCACTGCGGATATTTCTCAAACTTTCTTTAGTTTGACAGAAAGTTAAAATAATAGAGTAAATCAGTAAGAATCAAACAGGCAACACACGCAGTGATTTTTGAAACGTTCTTAACATCCATTGCGTATCGATTCATTACTTAATAAATATCGTATTTGCCCAGAGATATGATGCACATTTAAATAAACAAAAAATATGAATATATTTTAATGCATCCAACAGGATAGTATTATGATTGTCTGTTGAAGTTTCGGTAAGTGACTGAAAAGTGAATAACATTAGTGAGCATTAAATGATCTGATTTATTTCCGCCCACCTTAAGCATAGAACGCGTGATGAGAACAATCCCAGGAGATTGAATAAAGTGTTAGGTTCAAAATTCTGGGAAGGTTACCGATTATGAAGATAAACACCTGAAGAAGGGTACAATAGCCGAAACGTTGATATCATGAGCAAGAAATATGAGTATGTATGCAATTAGGATAATTCCTTATCTCAGGAAATTCAGTCAAAAATTATCACTGATAATTCCTTATCTCAGGAAATTCAGTCAAAAATTATCACTGATAATTCCTTATCTCAGGAAATTCAGTCAAAAATTATCACTGATATTGTTCTAGTTTTGCTTAGTGTCCGTGCATGGATGACGCAACTTCGCATATGTAAATTGATTTGTTTTGTTTTTTACGCTTTGTCAACCGTTTGCAGGTTATATAAAGCCAGAAAATATTTTTAGATTGTATGAATATCTGGGAGATAATAATGATTTTATTGATACCGATTTCCAATTCGGACCTGTTATCCCTAACACCATCCGTACATCCACGTTTACAGCACCTAGCATTCCCAAACGGTTACCCATCTAGGTAATGACCAGTCTCAACATTGCTTAACTTCGTCTACTTTTAGTTTTGTGATATGAGAAAAAAATTAAATGTTTGAACAGAAAGGGCACCATTGAACATTTTCTGACCCTTACTTGATGACATAGACAACTAATCAAGACGGAAGAGTTAATTTTCGAAATCTTTGATGAAAACAAGTTTAGATTTCATGCTTAGGATGAAAATTAACTGATATTTCATATCACTTAATATTCATTCATCTTACTCTGAAAATATGATCTTACTTTTGTCTGATGTCGAGAATCCAATGGACTGAACATGTGAGCAACGAGAAAGTTTTAAGTAAAATGGAAAAAATAAAAGACACTTCTATTTAGAATCAGAAAAAGATAATTGAAATTTCTTTGACACATAGCAGAACATGGAGAATTTGATACTCACACGACAGGTAAGCATCGAATAAGTTACCTAACGAGTTTATGTTAATCAATAGCAGTACAAGGAGTAAGAAGGATAGCAAAAAATAGAAAGTTTACTAAGAGCTACAAAGGACAGGAAGTTGTGGAGACCCACGATCACCAACGTTCTGAAGGGATACGACATATAGAAGAAGAAATCTTATTCTCCAGCTTGTCAAAATTTGGTAAACAATCATAATAATACCGTATTGGATGCATAAAAATATATTCATATTTTTGTTTTTTTAAATGTGCATCATATCTCTGGGCAAATACGATATTTATTAAGTAATGAATCGATACGCAATGGATGTTAAGGCCGTTTCAAAAATCACTGCGTGTGTTGAATGTTTGATTCTTACTGATTTACTCTGCTATTTTAACTTTCTGTCAAACTAAAGAAAGTTTGAGAAATATCCGCAGTGGGCGCTTATCGGCGATGGTTTGGCATGTGTCAGACTATGTTTAACCTAAGAAATATATGTTTATACTATCAACCTGTTTAAGCCAATGTTCACCAGGTGTAATTCTAAAAGCAAGCCTTTAGTAGACAACGTGCACAGCTGTCAAACCACCTACGCTGTTTTGCATACATAATAAATTTCTCAGCAATTTAACGTGTAAAAAAGAACAAGAAATATTCAATGAATTGATGATTTATTCTGGCAAATAAACTTGTCTTTTTACACTGCACTGCAGGCTTCTTCGTTTGCATGTTCCACCTGATAGTACATATTTAACACATCAGTGGCACCACCTTGACTAATTTTAGTATCTTCTACAGTCTTTCTCATGTAGACTTTCATTATATCCATTATTTTTACTTATTCATAAATATTTCCGTAAAACCCTCCCTCTCCTACTGCTTTATTACCATCTCCTCCTCCTTCTCAGTACTATTAAACATTCTGTGAAATATGAGGTCAGTGCCTCACTATGTTAAGTGTTGCAACTGTGATTACCGTAGCAAGTAGGTTTTTACGGCGTTGTTTGATTACCCCACGCCCAACTAGTTTTGAATTCAGACTTCACTTAGACTGGTGGCCAAGCAAGGCTAACGAGCACAGCCTGACCTGCTATTGTGCGTAAAAATTGAAGGATAAACGCGAATGTATGTAAATAGTTAAGACTTTGAAACATTGAAAAAATGAATAAGTCATCAACGATTAATAAAGAGAATATATCATTAGAGAGAAAACGTTGTAGTAATCAACCGATGAGAAGAAAGAAAGAAAGAAAGAAAGAAAGAAAGAAAGAAGGAAGGAATCTCAAAGAAATAAAAGAAGCTGGATTAAACAAGGAAGGAAAATCAGATAAAGAAGAAAAAGAAGGAACGAATCTCAATTAAAGAAAAACAGAAAAGAAAGAAAAAAGGGAATAAATAGAAATGGATTAAACAAAAAATGAAGGAAGAAAAGTCAGACGAAGAATGAAAGCATCTAAGGAAAGAAGTAAGTTAGAAGGGAAAGGAGAAAGAAAAAACAAAGGAAAAAGGGGAGGAGAAAATATAAGATTTAAAAAGAAAGAAAGAAAGAAAGAAAGAAAGAAAGAAAGAAAAAAGAAAAAAGTAAAGAAAGGGGGTATGACAAAGAAAGAAAGGAATTTGAATTAAACAAAGCAAAAAGGAAGGAATGAAATCAGACGAAGGATTAAAGAACAGAAAGAAAGATGGAATCGCAGTTAAAGAAAGAAAGAAAGATTAAAAAAAAAAAAACCTGGATGAAACAAAGGAAAAAACGAAGGAGGAGGAATCGCGTAAAGAAAGAAACAAACAAACAAACAAACTTGGATTAAACAAAGAAAAAGGGAAATGTCGGAAACTGAGAGGAAGGAAGGAAGGAAGGAAGGAAGGAAGGAAGGAAGGAAGGAAGGAAGGAAGGAAGAAAGAAAGATCAGTTAAAGAAAGAAAGAATGAAAAAAGAAAGAGGGAAATATGTCGATTCTTTTGTTAACTTCCGGTGTTTTTACCTGCACTTAAAAATACTATCAATTTAATTTGACTTTCCTTCTTTTTTTTTTCTGACAGTTCCTCAAATCGACACCCTTACAATTTCTACCCGAAGCCTTTTTGTCTGATGTCCGTCGGCATTGCCAGATTAAAACTCAACCCTTCCGCTTACTAACCCTCAATCCACCAATCCTAACAGAATTGAGGGACAGTAAACTTCCGTTCGAACCCAAAAGCCACTCATAACGTCAGGCATATGAAACACCATCTTTTGTGGGTCAGCCGCTGTTTTTATTTCCGGGACATTCCAATGCGATCACGTGATCCAGCCAATGAAATAGTCAGCTGGACGGTTAAGTGGTTGTGTTTTATTCACCCTTCACACATACACAGAGGCATTTTTTTTGGTGGTGGGGGTTTCTTTTCTGTCATTTTAATTTTTTTTAGTGGTGGTGGCGGTGGGGGGGGGTGTCTGTGTTTTTGCGTTTTTTTTTGTTGTTTCTTACTTCCTTCTTCCTTTTCCAGTTATTCTTTATTTCATCTTTTTGTTTTTCCTTTCTTTCTGTTTTTATTTTTTGTTTATTTACTTACTACGTTTTTTTCTTCATTTCTTCACTCTTTTTTTTTTTTTTTTTTTTTTTTTGCAGCTATCCTGTTTCTTTTTAATCCATCATTTTTTCTTCATTTATTTTTCCTATTTCTTCCTGGATGTTTTTCTCTTTGCTTGTGAAGAATTTTTTAAAAGGTCACCTGATGGAAAACAGAGAACTGACCAGTCAAAATGTTGTATCGAAATCACTAAAGATGAGGATACTGGTCCAAGTAAGTAATAAAATTAGACAATTTGTCAACAGTCAGTATAGTCAACAAAATATAACATTCTTGTAACAAATAGAAGAAGTAATGATTATTAACCAACGAGAATCTATTCAGTTGAGAGTAAAACAATATTCAGTTTATTGATTTCCTTTTTTGGTTGGCTGATCCATCACGTATAAGGTCTCATTCGATATGTAAAAACTATTGCATTGTACCGTTGATTTCCTATGTTATCCCGAGTTGAAACACCGACTCTTACGATCACCGAATTTAATCAACGTCGAGCCTGCTTAGTGCCTAGATGGGTGACCGCTTGATTAGGTGCTGTAAGGTTGGATGTGTGGGTCGGGCAATAGATAATGGTTCGAAGTTGGAAATCGGAGAGTCGAGTCCCAATTCCAGTCGGGCTCGTTACATTCATTTATTCGCAAATATTCTTGGGAAAAGTTATAATATATTCTCCTCCCCAACTATAGCTGAATTAATAGGACAGTATCAATAAATCCTTATCTAAAAAAAAAAATTCTACAATCTAATATTTTCTGGCTTTAAATAATCTGTCAACGGTTGATAAGCCTTAAAAACAAATCAGCCTTAAAGAATCTGCAGTTGTCTTGAATAAATCAACTTGGA